ACGACTATTATTCAAATTTACGCATCAACCACTAAGGCCAAAGATGAAGAAACTGAAGCTTTTTACCAACTTCTTCAGTATGAAATTGATCGAACATGCAGTCAAGATGCATTGATAATTACTGGTGATTGGAATGCAAAAGTTGGAAACAAAGAAGGATCAGTAGTTGGAAAATATGGCCTTGGTGATAGAAATGATGCCGGAGATTGCATGATAGAATTTTGCAAAACCAATGGCTTCTTCATTGCAAATACCTTTTTTCAGCAACATAAACGGCGACTATACTCATGGACCTTGCCAGATGGAATACACAGGAATCAAATCGACTACATTTGTGGAAAGAGACGATGGAAAAGCTCAATATCATCAGCCAGGGGCTGACTGCGGAACAGACCATCAATTGTTCATATGCAAGTTCAGGTTAAAACTGAAGAAAATTAGAACAAGTCCACAAGAGCCAAAGTACGACCTTGAGTATATCCTACCTTAATTTAGGGACCATCTCAAGAATAGATTTGATGCATTGAACATTAATGACTGAAGACCAGACGAGTTGTGGGATGACATCAAGGACATCAGACATGAAGAAAGCAAGAAGTCATTAAAAAGACAGGAAAGAAAGAAAAGACCAAAATGGATGTCAGAAGAGACTCTGAAACTTGCTCTTGAAAGTCAAGTAGCTAAAGCAAAAAGAAGAAATGATGAAGTAAAAGAACTGAACAGAATATTTCAAAGGGCGGCTCAAGAAGACAAAGTAAAGTATTCTAATGACATGTATAAAGAGCTGGAGCTAGAAAACCAAAAGGGAAGAACACACTCAGCATTCCTCAAGCTGAAGGATTCTATGCGGAAAACATTAAACGATTCAGGAAGCATCAAAAGAAGATGGAAGGAATACACAGAGTCATTATACCAAAAAGAATTGGTTGACGTTCAACCATTTCAAGAGGTAACATATGATCAGGAACCGATGGTACTGAAGAAGAAGTCCAAGCTGCACTGAAGGCATTGGCAAAACACAAGGCTCCAGGAATTGATGGAATATCAATTGAGATGCTTCAACAAATGGATGCAACGCTGGACGTGCTCGCTTGTCTATGCCAAGAAATTTGGCCAACCATCTGGAAGAGATACATATTTATGCCTATTCCCAAGAAAGGTGATCCAACTGAATGTGGAAATTATTGAACAATATCATTAATATCACACACAAGTAAAATTTTGCTAAAGATCATTCAAAAGCAGCTGCAGCAGTATGTCGACAGGCAACTGCCAGAAGTTCAAGCCGGATTCAGAAGAGGACGTGGAACCAGTAGTATCACTGCTGATGTCAGATGGATCCTGGTTGAAAGCAGAGGATACCAGAAAGATGTTTACCTGTGTTTTATTGACTATGCAAAGGCATTCGATTGTGTGGATCATAACAAATTATGGATAACATTGCAAAGAATGGGAATTCCAGAACACTTAATTGTGCTCATGAGGAACCGGTACAGATCAAGAGGCAGTTTTTTGGACAGAACAAGGGGATACTGCATGGTTTAAAGTCAGGAAAGGTGTGCATCGGGGTTGCATCCTTTCACCATACCTATTCAATCTGTATGCTGAGCAAATAATCCGAGAAGCTGCACTATATGAAGAAGAAAGGGGCATCGGGATTGGAGGAAGACTCATTAACAACCTGCGATATGCAGATGACACAACCTTGCTTGCTGAAAGTGAAGAGGACTTGAAGCACTTACTGGTGAAGATCAAAGACCACAGCCTTCAGTATGGATTACACCTCAACATAAAGAAAACAAAAATCCTCACAACTGGATCAGTAAGCAACATCATGATAAATGGAGAAAAGATTGAAGTTGTCAAGGATTTCATTTTACTTGGATCCACAATCAACACCCATGGAAGCAGCAGTCAGGAAATCAAAAGACACATTGCATTGGGCAAATCTGCTGCAAAAGCCCTCTTTAAAGTGTTGAAAAGCAAAGATGTCACCTTGAAGACTAAGGTGCACCTGACTCAAGCCATGGTATTTTCAGTCGCATCATATGCAGGTGACATGGACAATGAATAAGGAAGACGGAAGAAGAATCGATGCCTTTGAATTGTGGTGTTGGTGAAGAATATTGAATATACCATGGACTGCCAAAAGAATGAACAAATCTGTCTTGGAAGAAGTACAACCCGAGTGCTCCTTAGAAGCAAGGATGGCGAGACTACATCTTACATACTTTGGACATGTTGTCAGGAGGGATCAGTCCCCGGAGAAGGACATCATGCTTGGTAAAATACAGGGTCAGCAAAAAGGAGGAAGACCCTCAAGGAGATGGACTGACACGGAGGCTGCAAAAATCGGCTCAAGCGTAACAATGACGGTAAGCATGGCGCAGGACCAGGCAGTGTTCCCTTCTGTGGTGCATAGGGTGGCTATGAGTCGGAACCAACTTGACGGCACCCAAGAACAACAACAACAACAGGTATAGGACGTTGTCTTGGTCATCTAGTGCTGCTGTAACAGAAACACCACAAGTGGACGGCTTTAACAAAGAGAAATTTACTTTCACACAGTCTAGTAGGCTAGAAGTCCAAATTCAGGGCATCAGCTCCAGGGGAAGGCTTTCTCTCTCTGTCGGCCTGCTCATCCATCTTCCCTTGGTCTGAGAGCATCTCAGCGCAGGAACCTCAGATCCAAAGGACATGCTCTGCTCCAGGTGCTGCTTTCTTGGTGGTATGAAGTCCCCTACTCTCTGCTTGCTTCCCTTTCCTTTTATCTCGTGTAAAATAAAAGGTGGTGCAGGCCACACCCCAGGGAAACTCCCTTCACATTGGATCAGGGATGTGACCTTAGTAAGGATATTACAATCCCACTCTAATTCTCTTTAACATAAAATTACAATCACAAAATGGAGGACAACCGCACAATACTGGGAATCACCCAGCCAACTTGATACACACATTTTTGGGGGGACACAATTCAATCCACGACGGACGTTGACGCTTGTTTTTTTGTTTGTTTGTTTTGTTTTTACTGGTTGCCGTTGAGGCGACTCCAACTCATTTGACCCCATGTGTTCAGAAGTCAATCGGCAGGCCATTCTTCTGAGATGCCTCTGGGTAGACTCAAACCTTTCAGTCAGTAGCTGAGTACGTTAACCATTTACACCACCCAGGGACTCCCTGAATACCTTTAAAAAAAGAAACAAACAAACATATTGCCATGGAGTCAATTCCAACTCATGGCAACTCCACGTGTTTCAGAATAGAACTGCCCATCATAGGGTTTTCAATAGCTGATTTTTCTGAAGTAGATTGCCAGGCCTTTCTTCCAAGGAGCCTCTGGGTGGATTTGAACCAACAACCTTTTGGTTAGTAACCAAGTGCTTAACCATTTGCACCATCCGGGGGATTCCTTTAGGGGACCATTTTTCTGCTTACCACATCTTGGGAATCAGGTTTTGAACTTCATCACTTCAACGTGCATTTCCTAGATATATGTTGAGTCTGTGCTTATCTAAGAAATGCATGAACTAGCTCGGTGATCTTGCCCAAATTACATAACCTCTCTGAGCCTCCATTTTCTCACTTGGAAAACTGGAGCAATTAATACCTGTCTCATGGGAAATGATGCATGTAAAGTGTCTGCCTTACAGCAGACATCCTTTTCCATTAAACTAGCATTCAGAAATTCTTGTATGTTGTTTTAATCTTGACAAAATGTTAAGTAAAATATAGTATTAAGCAGTAATGAGACAGAGAAACAGACCCTTTTGTAAACTGCTGGTGTACATGTAAATTGGTAAATTTGATAAATTTACATATAAAATGGGCAACGTGCAATATGAATGTAAAGAAAAGCCTTATTCTCTTAATCCCAGTAATTTTCCATTTCTAGAAATGTGTCTTAAGGGCATGATTAAATTTATTACGAAGATGTGCAGGGGGAGATGGAAGCAAACTAAATGTCCACTAATAAGGGACTGGTTAAATACGAACGGTATATCCGCATGACAGAAATCCCATCAGCCTTTACAAGGACTTTGTAAAGGAATATTAAATGCCATGTCAGGAGACTTGCCCTATGTTAAGTGCCAAACTCGTAGTTTAAATTTACTGTCTCATGTCTGTAAAAGAACTCTGTGTGGTTAGAGAGAATGTGTGTGTATAGAAAAGACTAAAAGCATAGATTTCATAATGTTAAGTGTTTATTTCTGGATGATGGAATAACAAGTGGTTTTTGTTTACTTAAATTCTTCTGTTTTCCAGCAATGAGCATGGATTTCCAACGAGAAAGAAAAGGGGGGTGGGGGGCGGTGAGTGGTAAGGGATTTTGCCACATAGACCAGTTCCTCTAGGTAGATTACAGGCATTTCTAGCTAGAGAACAAACATTACTAAAGGGGTCCCTCTAGCGGAAGGTGGGACGCGGGTGCTGTGGGGCACATGGCTACGACTTTCAAAAATAGTTTAAATTAGTACATTATTCCGCGTTTTCAAAAATTTTCTTAAAAGGCGGGCCAAATGCAAAAGGAAAGGCCAAACTTCACCTCGAGAAACAGGTGCTACTAATTCTAGGCGCACTTGGAATATTTACAAGTAACTTTTTTCTGTTGTCGATGTCGGGGGACTAAGCTCCTTAGGGTTAATTTCTTCCCTTTGCTTTTACGTAGCTTGCGTTCCAGTCTAGGCTGAGTCCGCTTTAACTTCCAGATTAAAGGTACGAGGGGATGGAACCACTGCAGGCTCAGGGGTGGAGCCTGAATCCTAGAGGGGACAGTGTTCGCCAGCGCAGGTTTTTCTCGGTGACTTTGCGAATCTTTAGCTCTCGGCTTCTCTTCGGCTGCGTTCGGCCCGCGCTCGTCTCAAACTCGGCTCTTTTCGTCTGCGTTCGGCCGGTGCTCCACTTACCGGACCTGTTTTCTCTTCGGCTCCGTTCGGCCTACGTTAGTCTCGGACTCGGCTCTCTTCGGTTGCGTTCGGCCCACGCTCGTCTCAGACTCGGCTCTCTTCGGCTACGTTAGGCCGCGGACCCGGAAGAGCATCCATGGAGCCGGGACTACCGGTCCGAAGAACGGGTATGGCGCCGCTCCTGGAGTATGAGCGGCAGCTGGTGCTGGAACTGCTCGACGCGGACGGGCTGGTAGTGTGCGCCCGCGGGCTCGGGGCGGACCGTCTCCTCTGCCACTTCCTCCGGCTGCACTGCCACCCGGCGTGCCTGGTGCTGGTGCTCAACACGCAGCCCGCCGAGGAGGTGGGGCCGCCGGCGGCGCCGTCTGACCGGACGCCCAGAGCGTTGGGGGCTTTCTGGGCAGCTGCAGGCCCTGGCGCGAATGCGGGGCCTCTGAGAGGGCCGGAGGGGCCGGAGGGGGTGCAGGTCACTGACACGGGCGAGGGGATGGGGAGATGTCTGAAGGAGGATAGGGATAGGAATAATGAGAGAGCCCCGAAGTTGGATATTGAGGAGGTTGCTGGGGGCAGAGGAGTGGGATCCCTAAAAGGGAACAATGATGGGGATGGAGGGGTCTCTGAAGGTGTTGCAGAGACATGAAAGGAGACGCTGAGGGGGGAGAACCCTGTGGAAAAAGGGACCGCTGTGGGGAAGAGAAGGAGCCCTGGTGCCGCAGTGGTTAAGCGCTCGGCTGCGAATCAAGAGCGAATGCGGGAGAAAGATGTGGCAGTCTCCTTCCATGAAGATTACAGGCTTGGAAATCCTGTGGGGCACTTATCTGTCCTATAGGGTCGTTATGAGTCGGAATCTGCTCGAAGACAAGGGATTTTGGTTTGCTGGGAAAGAGGTGCACAAGGTCAGAAGGAAAGGGAGCTGGAAGCTAAGGATATTGGGGGAGATTCGGATTAAAGAGTATGGGGGGAGACTGAGGAAGATCGGAGGGGGATCCACCTATGCTCAGATGTCATCTAACAAGGCTCATGAGCCGCCAGAGAGAGCAGGTGGCCAGGAGGAAACTGTCACCTGAGAAGAGTGATTACAAACTCCTTGAGGGCAGGAACCCTGTCTTGTTCATCTAGGTATCCCCAGTGCTTAGTATAGGGTCTGGCACAACACAGGATGCTCTGTAACCGTGGTATTGAACTGAAGGTGTAAAGGGCCAAGGGACCCATTGACATTTTGAAGTCTCCTCTAAGATGGATGGGGACAGACCTAATAGTCTAAAACAGCGTCTGGGAAACGGATTCCCTTATATCCCTTGAATGCCAGTTTGGAGGCTGCAAATCTGACTTTCACTCACTCCTTGCCCTCGAGTTGATTCTGACTCATAGCAACCCTATAGGACAGAGTAGAACTGCCCCCATAGAGTTTCCAAGGAGCAGCTGGTGGATTCGAACTGCTAACCTTTGGTCAGCAGGCATAGGTTTTAGCCGCTTCACCACCAGGGCTCCAAACCCGACTTTATGGGGAAGTATTTTCCAGGTAGCAGAAGTCTTTTAACCTAAGGTTTTAAAAGTTGTTGTTTTGTTAAAGTGCTGTTAGCAACTCAGGTGCAATGATTCCTTAGTGAAACCACAAAAGAAGCCCTAGTTAAACCAGGACTGGTTGGTTGATCAAGATGAAGTAGTAACCTAGATTGTGTATTCAGGTTCATTATCTGAGAAAGTCAGCAAATTATTGTAAGTATTGAACAGCCTACTAATCACGTTTGGTTTGGTTTGGTTTAGGAGTATTTTATTAGTCAGCTGAAGCTAGAAGGAGTTGATCACCTCCCTCGCCGTGTAACAAATGAAATTGCAAGTAACGGTCGCTATGAAGTTTATACACAAGGTGGTGTTATATTTGCAACAAGCCGAATACTTGTGGTCGATTTCTTGACTGATAGAATACCTTCAGATTTAATTACTGGTAAGAATTTGAAAGTTTATCATTTGTATGTAAATATATACTTTTTTTTTCTTTTTTTTTTTAATGTCTGTCTCCTCTGCTAAACTCTAAACTAGAACCCTATTGTGGGCAGCACTGGATGTTTTTGCCCAACACTCTACTCCCAGCCCTTAACAGGATACCTGATACATTGTAGATGCTCAATAATTATTTGTCACCTGACTAAGTAATGAAATGTAAGACTGACTTTTCCTAAGCTCATATTTAGTAAATACTTAGTCCTGGTGGCACAGTGGTTAACACTTTGGTAACTCCAACCACTTTTTATGCCTTTGGAGTTCTTTGTGAAGGTGGTAGTGATTTTAACGTGTTGAGCCTCAAGGTGGGGGAGCCTTTTGAAATGCCTGAAACTCAAGAACCCTGAGTTGGAGCCTCCTTATTGTGTAGAATGAGCATTGTGTTAGATGGTGTCTCCTGGGTGTGTAAATTTTGTAAACTTTTGACAGGTTTGCCTTTATTTCTATGAGATAAGCCTTCTCACTGTGTTTCCCAGTTACTGTGTTCTCATGAGAATGTACTTATCGCTAGAATAAGCTATTCCTAGTCTACATTCGGAAACGCTGGTGGCATAGTGGTTAAGAGCTACGGCTGCTAATCAAAAGGTCGGCAGTTGGAATCCACCAGGCACTCCCTGGAAACTGTATGGGGCAGTTCTACTCTGTCCTATAAGGTCGGTATGAGTTGGTATTGACTCAAGCGCAATGGTTTTTTTTTTTTTTTTTTT